AATTATTCTGTGCGCTCTTTTATAGACGGATCCAAGTTTAGTGTCTGCGGGTGGAATGACGAAATCGTTCTTTAAATTGGTGGCTCGGATTATGTATGAGCTACAAAGGAAAATGACAATGAATTCGTACCTTTTAAGTGGAAAACATCATATAAATACTTTCCTTTGGTCCCCAGAGGTATGTTACATATTAAATTTTACTTGATTTATATTAGTAGAAAAGTTATCACAGCCTATCAGTGTGGCTGTAAATGCGCTAATCACTTTCCCTCACTACTCAATTAAGTAATTATCACGGAACTGCAAGCGATAATCCCCCCCCCTAAACTAATTGTCCTGTTAATCCCTAATCCACAATGAGTTGACACGGAGGTCATCTCGCTAATGCATGAGCTTTGTGTGGGTAACAAGAAAATATACAACCAAATGCGATCAGAAGAGTGTCATGAAGAACGTGCGGTGGGCACGTGACACGCAAGTGGGATTTGGTTCAATAGAGAATATTTCCTTGTCCCTTCATTTTCTACTGTACGTGAACTGTTCCTTCATTCAGTCATTGCATAATACATACATAATTATGTTTATATTTACCCGGTCTATTTATTAAATCTCTTCACTTTTCACACACGCCCCGTTTGAACATACAAAAATATACTTGCACGTCAGCTTTCACACCAAACATTTTATAAATTCTAGTGATGTTATCCTCAGTATCAGTTTACCAACTCCAAATCTTTGTAAAGAGGAAGCTTCATTTTCCTCTTTGAAAGTGCGTCCTTCATAGTTGTTATCCTTAACAAAATTACAGTTGTTTTTTTAAATGAAAAATGCCATACTCCTTTAGTTTGGGTATTACTTTTTAGTTTGAGAGTTTGTTTAATTACCTTCATATTTTTGGGTTAGTTTATATAAATACATTTTCACATATTAGGGCAACGAGTTTTATTACTTTCCTATTTTAGGGCTAGTTTTATCCAATGTAGGCCTAATATTACCAAACAAGCTTAAGGTGCACGCCGACTAGCAACATGTAGAGTCCCTCTTGTCCAATATCCCGCAGTGAGATGTTTTCAAAACATCCGCAGCATACTGTAACCATTTGATTTCTATTTTGTGTAAAAAAAATAAATCAGCCACCATCTGCTTGAAAAGACATAACTCAGCCTCCATAAAAAGTCTCATACAGAGTATCTAGTGAGCAAAGCCATAATCTTTCACAAAGACATCACCATGAGAGACAATACATATCTGTAAGCCTAATTGATTAATAATCATTTCAAATCTTTCCTGGTCAGACGCTCTACCCATTCCACTAGACCACGGCGGCGGTAAGGACTATGGAGATGTATATGGTATGACGCGACCGGGGATCGCGACCGGGGATCGAACCCCGACCTTCCGCTCTGAGGTCAGACACTCTACCCATTCCACTAGACAACGGCGGCGGTAAGGACTATGGAGATAGACATGTATTTGGTATCACGCGACCGGGGATCGAACCCCGACCTTCCGTTCTGAGGTCAGACGCTCTATCTATTCCACTAGACGACGGCGGCGGTAAGGACCATGGAGATAGACATGTATTTGGTATCACGCGACCGGGGATCGAACCCCGACCTTCCGCTCTGAGGTCAGACGCTCTATCTATCCACTAGACCACGGCGGCGGTAAGGACCATGGAGATAGACATGTATTATGTATGACGCGACCGGCCGGGGATCGAACCCCGACCTTCCGCTCTGAGGTCAGACGCTCTATCTATTCCACTAGACGACGGCGGCGGTAAGGACCATGGAGATAGACATGTATTTGGTATCACGCGACCGGGGATCGAACCCCGACCTTCCGCTCTGAGGTCAGACGCTCTATCTATCCACTAGACCACGGCGGCGGTAAGGTGAGTGAGTGAGTGTGGGGGGGGGGGGGACACCAGAAATGGGCTTCACACATTGTACCCATGTCGGGAATCGAACCCGGGTCTTCGGCGTGACGAGCGAACGCTTTAACCACTAGGCTACCCGACCGCCCCGCGGCGGTAAGGACTATGGAGATAGACATGTATCTGGTATGACGTGACCGGGGATCGAACCCCGACCTTCCGCTCTGAGGTCAGACGCTCTATCTATCCACTAGACGACGGCGGCGGTAAGGACCATGGAGATAGACATGTATTATGTATGACGCGACCGGCCGGGGATCGAACCCCGACCTTCCGCTCTGAGGTCAGACGCTCTATCTATTCCACTAGACGACGGCGGCGGTAAGGACTATGAAGATAGACATGTATCTGGTATGACGTGACCGGGGATCGAACCCCGACCTTTCTCTCTGAGGTCAGACGCTCTATCTATCCACTAGACCACGGCGGCGGTAAGGACTATGGAGATAGACATGTATTATGTATGACGCGACCGGCCGGGGATCGAACCCCGACCTTCCGCTCTGAGGTCAGACGCTCTATCTATTCCACTAGACGACGGCGGCGGTAAGGACTATGAAGATAGACATGTATCTGGTATGACGTGACCGGGGATCGAACCCCGACCTTTCTCTCTGAGGTCAGACGCTCTATCTATCCACTAGACCACGGCGGCGGTAAGGACTATGGAGATAGACATGTATTATGTATGACGCGACCGGCCGGGGATCGAACCCCGACCTTCCGCTCTGAGGTCAGACGCTCTATCTATTCCACTAGACGACGGCGGCGGTAAGGACTATGAAGATAGACATGTATCTGGTATGACGTGACCGGGGATCGAACCCCGACCTTTCTCTCTGAGGTCAGACGCGCTATCTATTCCACTAAACCACGGCGGCAGTAAGGACTATGGAGATAGACATGTATTATGTATGACGCGACCGGCCGGGGATCGAACCCCGACCTTCCGCTCTGCAGTCAGACGCGCTATCCATTCCACTAGACCACGGCAGCAGTAAGGACTATGGAGATAGACATGTATTTGGTATCAGAGGCCTTATGACCAACACTACACATGTTACATACCAGTTCTTGTGCACTTGTTCAGGAGAAACAAATCTATACAATATCACATAACATCTAAGATCCGTGAAGACCCGGGTAAGAATTGGTCTTCATAAGAGGCGACTTACGGGATCCGGTGGTCAGACTAGAGAATTATTTTCAGCAACCCATGCTTGTCGTAAGAGGCGACTAACGGGATCCGGTGGTCAGACTCGCGGACTTAATTGATGCATGTTATCGTATCTTATTTGCCTAGATCCATGCCAGTCACTGGATTGTCTGGTCCAGACTCGATTATTTACAGACCGCCGCCATAGAGCTGGAATATTGCTTACAACTTATTTGAAGAAGAATAACGATTATCTACCCTCCATGAAACAATGTTGAATGTTACAATATTAACTCACGACAGATAATCTGTATTTTTTCATACTTCGTAGGTTATTATCTAAACGTCAGTTTATAGAAAACTATAATACACTGATGGAAATAAGCAAGGGAACGGTATTCAGAGAAGCACCCGTTTGATGTGTCATCCTGTTTACTTCATCCTCAGTTGCGATGGATGCGATGCTGATGAGCATTGTCTTATAGTTGAGTGAGTGAGTGAGTGAGTATGTATGGTTAGTGAGTGAGTGAGTGAGTGAGTGAGTGAGTGAGTGAGTTAGTGAGTGAGTGAGTATGTATGTCGAGTGAGTGAATATGGTTTTACCCCGCTTTTAGCAATATTCCAGCATCATCACGGCGGGGGACACCAGAAATTGGCTTCACACATTGTACCCATGTGGGAATTGAACCCGGGTCTTCGGCGTGACGAGCAAACGGGTTGACCACTGGGATACCCCACCTCGTCTGTAATACAGACCCTGAAACAAATATATCCAACAATGCCCATGCAAGTCTATAATATTGGGCAAGTCTAGAATACTGCAGTATCAGTATCTGAAAATGAAGAAAGCCATGGCTCCTTTTGATTCTATTTTATAACTACAATTTAACAACTATTTTTTATTGTAAAATATGTTCATTTCAGACTAGAGGCGAGCCTACCCACCGCCCTGACGTTATAAGCAGCTGCTTCTACTCATATGATGATGGGGATGGTATGTTTTGTTTGCACACTGTGCTGTCGAGCCAAGTTTGTTTGTTGTTTAATGCCGCTCACAGCAATATTAGAGCTATATGAGGGCCGTCTGTAAATAATCTGGACCAGACAATCCAGAGATTGACATCATGAGCATTACGCAATTGGGGTGCGATGACATGCATCAACCAAGTCAGCGAGCCTGAACACCCGATCCCATTAGTCGCCTCTTATGACAAGCATGTCACCTTTTACGGCAAGCATGGGTTGCTGAAGACCTATTCTGCTATTCACATGCATATGATGATGGGGATGTCATGTTTTATTTGCAGGTTGCACTGTCAAGCCATGAGAATACATTGTATCCATAGTAATAATCTCACTCCAGTTGTGAGCATCTATATATTCATGGTAATGACGCGGTTGAGGATGGTCATGATGTTGCTGTTACTGTTGCTGATGCTGACGATGTCGATGATAACGTGGATGTGCGTTGATGAATAACTAATGAAGTACCCCAGTGTGTTGTGTTGTAGTTTTGTATGGTGTTATGAGAGACTGAGCTTGATTTAACAGGCTTTTAACAGCATTCCAGTTATATCAGCTTAATGTGGGAGGAAAGCCCGAAGTGATGCAGGTCTCAGGCGTTCACCACTTTGGTTAAACCCAAGGTGTTATAAAGCTAGAAACATAATTGGGGCGAACCGGGATTCGAACCCACAATCATAGGTTTCTGGCGTGCCAAAGGGACGCAACTCTGCACAGCCAATCACAGCGCCTTAGATGACTGGGTTACCCGTGCCCGTCTTAATCATGAAATCTCTTTGGAACAGCATTGAACTTCTGAAGAATGTTTTACTGCAAATAATAGTCTAAATCATACTTGCTGGCTGTGAGTTTGTTTATACACACAGAGTAACAAAAACAAAGTCATTTGAAAAATTGGCACTTTATTGCTCAATCATCATGGCAACACATTCAATAATTCAGACAATACACCACCCTCTCTGTTAACATGCATCCATGAGCCTCTCGTTCTTCCACATCCTCACTAACTCACACACGCACATGCAAAGTTCAGAATATCAACAGCAAACTGCAAACTGTCACATTCGGACAAAATAATCTAAAATAGATGACATCCATACAAATATAGAATTGTGGTCAGTTTTATAACATTGTCAAACACAGGCATGGCTGACCAAACCACATCTGATCTCTGGGTTGGGTCAAAGTACTTGTTTACTTGCTGTAGTTAGTTAATGTAACTTCTTTCATTTGTTTGTCCCACTTTCTCAATTCTTTCATGAAGTACCAACACCTCGATGCAGCTCTTCCTCAGCAAAATCCTTGACTGGAACTGAGAGAGATGGTCTAATGCTGTTTGGAACTGTATCTCGGTCACACCTCAGTTGTCAACTTAATGTAAGACATGTCATACTTTGAATCAACACACGAGCACTGGCAAGATACTGAAAACAAAAGCTCCTAATCATGGTGCTTCCTCCTCTTTAGAAAAATAGTTCAAAATTTAAACCAGAAATCAAACATTAGTTATCTTTTAAGTAATGCGTTAAGATCTTAAATAGGCAACTTAATCCAAATATATAACAGATTACGAAACTTGAAGACAAGACATCTGAATGTATAAACAAAGCTTACTATTTTGATAACATGAAGTAATTCTCTATTTTATGATCAATTCCAAAGGCAGGAAGTATTCTATAATCCAAGGCATTGGTACTCCATCAGAAAGACTGGTTCAACACAAACATCATAAATAGGAGACAACCCATACTCACTGTCTAGGACACGTGGTAATGATGTCTGACTGATCAAAACAGACAAAGCTCAGCATGGCGCAAGGGAGATAACTGGCAAAACAGGGGAAGTAACTGGAGCCGATTTTGCATAATGCCGCTACTAACGTTGGATTGTTCATGTTGGGCATCAAAACCTTTTTTACACAGATAACAAAAGTTACCTAACTTTGAGAGAATGAAAATGATATAGATTACAGCTGTAATTCAAAATTACTGCAGGCTTTTCAGACCTACATTTAATGAGCAACACCATCTCAAGACATTAATGAAAAGAAAAAGATGTACATAGGAAAGAAAATGGTGATTAGCAATTTTGAAATTCAGAAAAATTGACTCACAAAGTAATGATAAAGGATGTAAATGAACATCTTGGAGCATTCAACCTGAAAGTATGTATCAACATGTTCACACTTATGTAATCTGACATTTATACTTGACATGGTATTGGTGAACCGAAACGTGCTCAAGTCTGTTTCATACAATAGACATTTCTGCAGTAAAGTACAAGTAGTATTTCAATGAATTAGGATTACAATGAATCAACAAAATAACAGTTCCATCACAGCAGGAAGTAGCTTGTCAAGCCATGAGACTGACATAAACAGGCAATCAAACTAGGAAGTATCCATACTTGGACCTTGTGGCAGCCTGATACAAGTTGCTCCTAGCAACAAGCTGGGGGACCTTGTGGCAGCCTGATACAAGTTGCTCCTAGCAACAAGCTGGGGGACCTTGTGGCAGCCTGATACAAGTTGCTCCTAGCAACAAGCTGGGGGACCTTGTGGCAGCCTGATACAAGTTGCTCCTAGCAACAAGCTGGGGGACCTTGTGGCAGCCTGATACAAGTTGCTCCTAGCAACCAGCTGGGGGACCTTGTGGCAGCCTGATACAAGTTGCTCCTAGCAACAAGCTGGGGGACCTTGTGGCAGCCTGATACAAGTTGCTCCTAGCAACAAGCTGGGGGACCTTGTGGCAGCCTGATACAAGTTGCTCCTAGCAACAAGCTGGGGGACCTTGTGGCAGCCCGATACAAGTTGCTCCTAGCAACCAGCTGGGGGTCCTTGTGGCAGCCTGATACAAGTTGCTCCTAGCAACAAGCTGGGGGACCTTGTGGCAGCCTGATACAAGTTGCTCCTAGCAACAAGCTGGAGGACCTTGTGCAGCCTGATACAAGTTGCTCCTAGCAACAAGCTGGGGGACCTTGTGGCAGCCTGATACAAGTTGCTCCTAGCAACAAGCTGGGGGACCTTGTGGCAGCCTGATACAAGTTGCTCCTAGCAACAAGCTGGGGGTCCTTGTGGCAGCCTGATACAAGTTGCTCCTAGCAACAAGCTGGGGGACCTTGTGGCAGCCTGATACAAGTTGCTCCTAGCAACAAGCTGGGGGACCTTGTGGCAGCCTGATACAAGTTGCTCCCAGCAACAAGCTGGGGGGTCCTCCTGACTGGGGACAGTTCCTACATAGGTAAGAGTGCATGTCTATCGTTTTGCTTAAAGCTTCTTTCCATCTGCATCTCAACTGCAGACTGAGTGAGTGAGTGAGTGAGTTAAAGTTTAACGTCACATCGGCAATATTTCAGCCATATCGTGACGAAACAAAACTGCACACTGAAAACATGACTCTAAATATGCAGAACTTGTTACCGGAATCCTGATTCTTCAAAGGACATAGATTCAGTTACGCCTGTCGTATCATAATCAAAAGCTGTTATCTTACCCATATTATGCACTTCTAAGCAGTACAGCTAAAACCAATTTAATTTAGACTTCAGTGAAACAGACCTAGCTTTTAGCAAATATAAATCACAATGTGTGACAGAAGGCATCAACACAGCAAGGGTTAAAAAATATTTACGCTCTGCAATTCACCCATAGTGTCACATCGATTCAGTATTTTTTCTGATATTAATCCTTGTTCAACATGCTTACAGTATCATGTATTACAGATCATAGATGCTAGTATTCAGGAATACTGGTTAGGTGTTCTTTATCTTCCTAGAGCCAACTATATCAAAAGTATCCATCGTAATGTGACGTCCACTGTTCAGACATTCCAAAATAGAAAAGTAACTCGACTAGTTACATATACACCTGAAAAAAAGTTAAGCACTGCTTACTATACTCCTACTAAAAAAGAGTTAAAGAAAATCCAATGTTTTCAAATGATTATAGCTCATGTCATAGCCATGACACATTAACCATAGTCATATAAAACAATCAGGTGTTCCTTAACTTCTTTTGAGTACTATATATATTTCAACATGAAACAGCCATGTCTGTATATCAGACCCTGTAATAAATTTCCAGAGTTAAATCCTCATATTAGCAAAAGTAAAACTGATTATGTTATGCACTTTGTAGCTATTCCATGGCAACAGATTTACTTAAGTTTGGAATATATGACAAAGACTGGCTGGTGATTAACTTTTTTCAAGGTGTATATTTTTAAAATAAATATTATTGCAATGTTACATAAGACCGCAACCACATCTTTTAACCCTTGCAGTATCAATGGCCGATAACATGACATGTATACTGTGTATGTCATTGAACTCCAACAATACAATCCTGACATCATTCAGGCAAGAGATGCTGTACATTATGCATAGTTTAATTGGAAACATCTTTGTTGGAGATAGGAGTGTTGTGACAGCAGAGATTCTGCTCCTAGCTACTGGGTGAGGTGGAATCTTCATGGAACGTGTGTTGACACACACAGCAGCCCAGGAACTGGCTCAAGGTACTTACAAGCTGGTAGAATGACACCATTAAGAATTAATCAATAACATAATATTTAAGATATGACGGAGTCTTCTAATAAACATTTTGAAAATGTAATTTCCGCTCAAAGTGAATTAATATATGAGCTGCTACAATGATGTACATTTGGCAACATCCTGAGTGGACTACTTTATCTGTTGAATGCTGATTCTATTAAGATGTTTGTGAGATGAGATATTGGCCAAAAGACAGTAAGAATCCATTTAAATAGATACCCTGTAGGCAGTTCTATGTAAATGGACACACACTGCCTTCAATAAATCCATTACCGACATTATCATCCATGAAAGTCTGAACTCTCGATATTCTTGACATCACAAACCAAACAACACGTTCCGAGTCTGTTTGTTTTGCTGTATATTTTGTCTGAGTCAAATGTGTCGTGTCTGGAGACACAGCAGAATTCTTGTCTTCATATTTCAGCGAATGCGTTAAGCTATTACCGATGGGATTTCATTCACGTAACACCCAAATTCATTCAAGTATAACATTGTTACATAAATATCTAGATCGTTAAATTCGGTGCAATATGTTGGATTGAATTAAGTCAAGTTATTGCTATGATAGCAGCTTGATGGAACAGAGAATACTCTCTCTGAATAGCAAAGCCTAAAGTTTAAATTGTGTTTTACTGGTAACTACATAATAATTAAAAAACAACAAATCTCACTTCGGTCAACTTATGTGAAGCAGAGAACCTGTATAAAAGCCATGTATCCGGTTTGGATAATTATGCGATAACAATAAAAGTATGTTAAGAAATGCAGAAACTATTCAGGTTATCCTGGGCTTCATAAAGACTTAACATTGTGATCCCTGACAAATTCAGTTAAAATTCATCGTGCTTAAGTACTTGTTTTCTCTGGAACAATATTTTCACTAAAGAAACCAACACGCAATTAAAATAACAAAGGCACAAGCACCTTCTCAATATTAGATTGAAGAAAGAATGTATTGACTTGGGACACTGGCCGCCTCCAGGACACATGGCAAAGAGAGGCCTCGAGTTGCATCATCGCTGTCATGTTGCATCTCACCAAGCAGCAGAAGCGGTCCATGACGCACCAACGTCGTTTTCAACTATCGACTTTCTTCAGATTTCTTTCCTCTTTGTTACTTTCCCTGTTGTGCAGCACCCTCTGACGATGGAAAATAGTATTTAGTATCACAGATATTTGCTTCAGGTTTGGACTATGTGTTGGCTGGGACGACCCGATCACAGCGTTGGAGGAATCCTGACCGGGTCCATCCTTCACCAAGCATATTCCATCACCAACAGGCAGATAGTCAGTGGTGTCCACCCGATCTACTTTCAATGGGGTACAGAAGTCTGTTGCTGAACAGTCACATCAGCCAATCAGTTGTTGAGGCACCAGCATTGGAGTTGGCGTCATCTGAATCAATCCACTATATACTAGCACACCAGTTAGTCACCATTCTCGTTCAATATCTGTGCCAAGACTGAAATCTGGAGGACAATTTTGCAAGTAACAAGCAATGAGGATATCATCTCAAATCTTGACTGGGCTGTGTCCAGCTTTGCAAACAGCAGGTCCAACATTGCAACAATCTCGGCAACAGAAAGTAAAGGAAAGACCACATTTCATAGCACCAATGTTCAGTCCACATTCTCGATCTCGCCAGCGTTGACCCGTGTGGGGTCAGCATGGACCGTGAAGCCAAGGATGCTCTTGTCAATCTTCTGCATCTTGCCCTTCTTCTTCTTGTTCTTGTTGCGGGCTGCCGACTCAGCATCATTGTTGTTGCTGGACCGGACCTCCTTCGGGTTGACTGCAGGTGCTGGGCCCCAAATACTGTCCTGTAAATAACAGGTATAATACTGTCCTGTAAATAACAGGTATAATACTGTCCTGTCAATAACAGGTATAATACTGTCCTGTAATAAAATGCTCTTCTCTTTATAAATTCAAAGGCCTTTTAGCAGACATTGAAGGCAATCATGTAAACCTAAGCATAAAAGCTCTTCATCCTTACTGGTCATATTGTCATCCCTGTTGTCAGGGTACCCACCCCCTCCCAGTGTCAGGGTACCCACCCCCTCCTGGTGTCAGATACACCCCTGGTGTCAGGGTACCCACCCCCTCCTGGTGTCAGATACATACCTGGTGTCAGTGCTACAAGCCAGGTACCCACCCCCTCCTAGTGTCAGGGTACCCACCCCCTCCTGGTGTCAGATACATCCCTGGTGTCAGTGCTACCCAGCCCCTCCTGGTGTCAGGGTACCCACCCCCTCCTGGTGTCAGGGTACCCACCCCTCCTGGTGTCAGATACATCCCTGGTGTCAGGCTACCCAGCCCCTCCTGGTGTCAGGGTACCCACCCCCTCCTAGTGTCAGGGTACCCACCCCCTCCTAGTGTCAGGGTACCCACCCCTTCTGGTGTCAGATACATCCCTGGTGTCAGGGTACCCACCCCCTCCTAGTGTCAGGGTACCCACCCCTCCTGGTGTCAGATACATCCCTGGTGTCAGGGTACCCACCCCCTCCTGGTGTCAGATACATCCCTGGTGTCAGGGTACCCACCCTCCTGGTGTCAGATACATCCCTGGTGTCAGGGTACCCACCCTCCTGGTGTCAGATACATCCCTGGTGTCAGAGCTACAAGCCAGGTACCCCCCTCCCCCCTCCTGGTGTCAGTGCTACAAGCCAGGTCCAACCCCTCCTGGTGTCAGTGCTACAAGCCAGGTACCCCCCTCCCCTTCCTTGTGTCAGTGCTACAAGTCAGGTACCCCCCCTCCCCTTCCTGGTGTCAGAGCTACAAGCCAGGTACCCCTCCTCCTGGTGTCAGTGCTACAAGCCAGGTACCCACCCCCTCCCTGGTGTCAGTGCTACAAGCCAGGTACCCCCCCTCCTGGTGTCAGTGCTACAAGTCAGGTACCCCCCCTCCCCTTCCTGGTGTCAGAGCTACAAGCCAGGTACCCCCCCTCCTGGTGTCAGAGCTACAAGTCAGGTACCCCCCCTCCCCTTCCTTGTGTCAGTGCTACAAGCCAGGTACCCCCCCTCCCCTTCCTGGTGTCAGTGCTACAAGCCAGGTACCCCCCCTCCTGGTGTCAGAGCTACAAGCCAGGTACCCCTCCTCCCTGGTGTCAGTGCTACGAGCCAGGTACCCCCCTCCCCACCCCTTCCTGGTGTCAGTGCTACAAGCCAGGCCCCCCCCCCTTCCTGGTGTCAGTGCTACAAGCCAGGTAACCCCCCTCCCCACCCCTTCCTGGTGTCAGTGCTACAAGCCCGGTACCACCCCTTCCTGGTGTCAGTGCTACAAGCCAGGTACCCCCCTTCCTGGTGTCAGTGCTACAAGCCAGGTACCCCCCTTCCTGGTGTCAGAGCTACAAGCCAGGTACCCACCCCCTCCTAGTGTCAGATACATCCCTGTTATCAGGGTACCCACCCCCTCCTGTTGTAAGATACATCCCTGTTATCAGGGTACCCACCCCTCCTGTTGTAAGATACATCCCTGTTATCAGGGTACCCACCCCCTCCTGGTGTCAGATACATCCCTGTTATCAGGGTACCCACCCCCTCCTGGTGTCAGTGCTACAAGTCAGGTACCCACCTCCTCCTGTTGTCTCTCTAGTCTGGCCTTCTGCTT